CCTGGGCATAGAGGTTGGGAGCAGAACAGCAAGGGCTGGCACTGTTGAGAGCCACAAATTAGTGGTTGAGACAGCTGCAGCTGGACCCATGTCCTGGTGCAGGGAAGGAGCTGCTGCCTGGAGGGAGGGAGTGGGGAGCAAGCAATGGCTGCAGGTCAGGAATGAGGGACACTTGCAGAGCTGTAGGTGCTGTGGGTTGGGAGTGAGAGTCAAGGGCATGGCACCAGCATATCAGTGCTGCTTAGCACCACAAAGCAGCTGTGGGGACAATCAAAGCTGGACCTGCATCCTGGTGAGTGAAAGGGCCAGTGTGAGCTCTAAATTCCTATGATAAAAAACCAAAAGCAAATGCCAAAATATTTAGAATTTAGAATTTATTTTATTATAATGATTGAGGCAGTGGTAGGCTTCCAAATTGCTTTGAAATTGTAAATATATCAAAACATTGTGCTCTACTGTTACCTATATATATAGTGACATTTCATTTTAATTGTGGAAAAATGCGAATGTTCGGTTTCTTAATCAGATAATTTAGGGTTTTTATAAGAGAATTTGCAATATGTAAACAGAGAAAACCGGGATCCCAGCTGGTGAGGCAAGTGGGAGGACCCAGGCAGAGGAGCCTGCCCAGGGCCAACACTGGGGATACACCACAGGTGTTGGCCCCAGCCTCCAGCTCCCCCTCGCTGAGATCCAGGAGGAGCTGGGCAGTCAGTTTGCCCCAAGTGGCACAATTTGCTTCCAAAGTGCACATTCAGGCCTGTGTGCTGAGGCACTAATCTTTAGCACAAATTTGTGCTGTGCTATTTGAGCTGCTGCAAGTGCATGTGCCTATATGTGTGGACTTGCGTCCAGTCGAGCACAAATGCGAAGCTCCCTGTAGACAAGAAGCAGCAGTACACCTTGTGCTGCTGCTGCTTTTCCCTGGGGTACACCCATGCCATGCACCCTTTGATGCACAGCAGGTGGGGTAGGAGAGGATGGGGATAACAACCATACTTGGCCTAGCAGTCTTACCTGGAGTTCTGGGGCCCAGGAAACCTTCAGCCATTGTGCCTCTGCAGCTTCGAGCCTGGTCAGCAGTTGGATTGTAGCTCCAGTGGGCCAGGACTGGTTTTGGGTGGCACATGCTGCTGCTACATGAGCCACCCTGCTTTTGTTCTGCACAATATTTTTGGACCCCAGGATCTCCCAGGATCAAACCCTGCTGCCCCCTTGTGCTGCAAAGTAGTAGCATGGGGAACGCCTGAATGTGCAGTGCGTGGCGGTGCAGACAGGTCTGTGGTACCACATACTGCATGGCCATACTCATTCGGAGGCGGCCAAAGTGGCCATATTTTCAGTGGGTGAGTGTTCTGTGTTTCCTCTATTTTGTTTCTGCTTCATGCATTTCAAGTTCAGTGCCCCCAGTGTTAGTACATTTAATCTCCAGGCACTCTTGAAAATTTAGCTCAAATATCATAATTTCAAAAGAAACATTTGTAGTGTGAAACCCTATCTTTAAGGTCGACTGTCTCTTGAAATAGTTGTTATAAGATACTTCAGGAAACTAAATGAACATTGGTTTGTGAGAGGAAAAGACTCAAATTCAGATCTCTTGTTCAGTATCCTTATTTGAGGATTGATTAGGATGACTTCTGTATTCTGCTTAGTTTTGCCTTTCAGCTAAACCCAAAGTGAAATGCCCTGGGTGCCTCTTTTGTGCTACATATGCTGGTCAAATAAGTCTTACCATTTCTAACCATTACCTGCCCTCATTTTCCTCTTTTCAACAGCAGTTAGTTGTGTGTCGTGTTGTCCAGTAGTCACTGCCAGTGGCCTCTATGGCCGTGTCCAGATGACCACAACCATGTAGTATGTGATGCTGCAGATCCATCTGTGGTGCCACACACTACACATTCAGGCATTCCCTGCACTGCTACCTTGAAGTGTGGGGTTTTCTTTTGACCCCAAGTGATCAGGCGTTCTCCAGGGAACTAAACAAAAACTTCTGTGCCTGTCTGGATGTGGCCTATGCAGTTTTCTGGGAAACAGGAGCTCACACCTAAGAAATCCTGCTTTAAAAATTTCAGGTGTCTGGTATCAGGGGTATCTTTACTGAAACCAGTGCTATCTTTACTGACGTGGAGAGTTAAAGTCAGAATATCTGTAATGTTCATAGTATTCTCAAAACTGCTATTTATTTATATATTGAATATTTTCTAGTTGCATAACAACTTTCACTTACGTAATCAAAATGTGCAGTGTACTTGCCAACTAAGTAAGCTTCCCAGACACTCTCTGTTGTATAGCAGATCAATATTGTGTACTCATCATGTAAATGAGGAAACTCAGAGGTGTTAGGTTGTTCTCTATCACACAAAGACTCAGTGGCAGAGTTGGAGACTTTTTTTTGGCATCTCTTTCTTCTCAAACTACAGAAAAAAAATAATACAAGCTTATATTATTTTCCCTGTAGAGTTGTTACTGGAGTATCCAGTTAAGAGTAGATCCTCTGAGTGAAGCAAAGGTGTTAGATGAAGATTCCCTTACCTGCATTCCTAATTCCTACAATTTTTGTAGAGGCAGAAATTTACTTTAATGCACAAAATAATGTGCTGGTTGTCCAGCCAACTGTCTCAGGGTTAGGTATGAGGGACATTAGAAAAGTGAGGTTTTTCTCTTTGTCCATCCTCGGTCAGTCAGCTGAGGCTGCTCTGTAGAGTTGGGGATTCCATGTAAGTTCATAGGATCATATAATTATATTTAATCAGGGCTGGAAAGGACCTCAAGAAGTCATCTAGTTTAGGTCCCTGCTCAAGGTAGGATCATCCCTGACTAAACCATCCCAACCAAGTGTCTGTCTAACACTTTCCCACTGCTTCAATGGGAGTTGGATCTTGCCTGTCAGAGGCTTACTCCTGTACATAGGGATATCTATGCATCAGTTAGCCTCCGCACAGAAGCCCTGAACTAGCAAAATGTGAAGGGAACAAAAACTAAATTATTAATATCAGTAAAATATATCAAATGCCCCCCAGGCTCTTACTGTTCCCTTCTCCTAGATTAGAAGCTCTCAGCCTTTTCAGAGTGAGAGCATCCCTCTACAATTTTTGTTTCAGTTTGGCAGTCCCCAGTTGAGAACCACTGTTGTGGTTCTCAGCTCAGCTTATGTCAGTGGTTCTCAACCAGGGTGTAGCAGCGGCCACTGCTATGGCCAGGTAAATGTACCCCATGTGTCTCTTGCAGTTAGATTGTGAAGGGCTGTGGCGTGAGTGCCTGCTCCACCTGCATTTGGGTTATTTGAACAGCCTACAGGAGGCAAAAGAGTCCGCATTTGCCGTAACCCTTGTATATTTCCATATTTCGCATTTTTTTCCATCTCCACACAGTCCACTTCATTATAGTCCAATATACAATTCAGGATCCATTTTCTGTAATGACCTTTCTTGATTACCTTCAAATTCTATCCTTCCCTTTTACCATTGTATCAGTCTCCCCATTAAAAATGCTGAATTAATAAAAACAACATTTTTTTTTTAAATTAGGAAACTTTCCTCATAAGTTTGGAACTTTGGTTTTAGAGATTTTTTCTTTGCAATTTTACATCATGAAATAGGGACCCTGTCAGGAAATATTATTAGCATGGTAACCTGCTCTGTGATATTTTTACATGCTGACTAGAGAGAAGGAAGACTTAGGCACTTGTGTACAATTTAATTGTAATAATTGTCATCTTACTCTTGACATTATGTTGCAAAAAAACAGCAAGAAGGAGGAGGACTCATTCACCTTTTTTATTTAGATGCTCTGCAGTGACTTGGGCAGGGTGGCATAGGATCACACTTATATGCATATTATATGTGCATAATATATGGTACAGAATCTGGTCGATAGTGAGGATTTTCATTTTATTTGAGTAAATAAGTGTCTAGTATTGTAAATAATTCTCAGTGTATTCATTTAGGAGGGAACATGGACATTCTTGATGAATTCAGCCCCGACATTTCTAGTACACTTCTGCTCATAAGTTTTGCTAGCACAGATTACTAAAAAGTGTGTTTTAACTAACTGGCAGGGTCCACCTACTGTTGGTAACCCCTGAGGATTGAAATAACCTTAACTCCTAAGGAAATTTCGCTGTTAGGTAAGGTGATCAGAATTTGGTATTTTTCACTATCAGAAATTATAAAGCTGCCTCTCTGGAAGTAGGGGCATGTGAAGGGAGGGATATTTCTCTTGACATTTTTAAGTATTACCCTTATAATGTTTGAATATTGAGGTAACACATCATTTTTTCTTTTTTTTTACTTAAAAGTTGCAGCAATGTCTTATGACACTATTCAGTGCTATTTTTTCACTCACATAAAGTGATTCACACCTAGATTAGTGCACCCACAAGGGACTGGGTTGCACTTTAAGCCTGTAATGCTGACCAAGATCTGAACTTTAATATATTAAAAAAAACATTTATTGTCTTTAATAACTGGTTCTGAACTTTTTATTATCCAAAAGAAAATCATATAATAGCAATATCAAATACCAGAGTTTAGAGAAACTCTCATATTAAAGAATTCTCTGAAGAGCTTTTCAAAATTGAAGAGGTATGGGCACAGAAAAGATGCACAATGGTACCTTGAGAGATGTGACTATGGATTTTGGCTCTGCAAAGTACACGGGAGGACTCCTGAGTGAACATTTGACTCTATGTATCCATCTAGTCCTCTAATAGTTCTTTCCTTACTAGTTACAGCAGAGAATAGAGAAGGTCTACATTTCTGGTGGGGGTGTGGGGATAGTTAGTACATGCTAGCAGGTCCTGCTTTCATTTCCTTTAATTGAATTTTGCATCCAGTTCCTGGTGATGTTTGCTCCAATATAAGCAGATGAAATTCTAACTGAATTTTATAGATGGGTTGGTGTATACTTATAGCAAGGTAAAGTCAGATAGTCTAACTCTCTTCTATTCCTATCTAAAACTTCTTAATTGTATTTTCCATTGCAGAATACTAATGACATCCAAAATAAAAGTAGCAAAGAATTTCAGAAAAGGCTGCCTTAATCCTGTCCCAATCCCTGCTCCCTCTCTGGACAGCTCCCGACATGGCTGAACAGATCAAACAAATCTGAAACAAAATGCTTTCACCCAAACAGGCAGAACCCCAACAGGGGTTCATGGCAAACATAAAAACATTTCCTGACAGAGTTCTACCCATCTGAGTCACAAGCCCTGAAAGTCCAATGCGAAAGCTAAACCACCATTCATGGAATACACCCTCAGCTCTGTTGATTGCTGAGTGGTGGCAAGAATTAGATGAGTGTTGTGGAATCTCTTTCAAAGAAGACAGGCTACCCTCCACTTGGTCCAGCGCTTAAGAGCATGCTTTTCCAATACAAAATGTTCTTGCCAGCTAAATTTTTATATCTCATATTTCCTTACTAATCAGGGTTATTGAGAAGGTAGCAGCAAGCCAACCTCGGAAGCTACTCAACAGCAGCTCTTCCAAATTGGATGCCAGTCAAGGCCTTGGCAAAGAGAAGGCACTGATGGACAGTCTCCACAAAGTTGGAGTGGAATAAAGGTAATCAATATTGCTTGAAGCCAGTTAACCATAAGGTCCTAATGGTCTCATTTTTGAGAGCCTGGAAGAAGTAGGTGGAGTCAACATAAATGTTCTTTTCAGAAGTATCCTGGAGACCTCTTCTGTCCTGGGCTTCCTCCTGATCCAGATCCTGTTCTACTCTGTAAAGTCCCACAAGAATCATTCTTGTATAATGCTCAGCTCCATTGTTCATTGTTATCCCATGTGGAGACGGACATCACTTGGAAGTCCCCATACTGGGCAAGGTAAGTGTCTTGATGAAAAGCGATTGGTTCACGTTCAAACTAGATAGAACGAATCAGTGTTGGTAGGAAGAGGAAATAGTAAGTTGAGGAGTAGGCACTAAGGGATAGACTTAAGAACCTGTGTGATTGTATTCTACCCTGCTTGAATCCCTGCAAAAGAGTTCATAAAAATTGTTGTGGGTCCTCACTGACCTCTCCTCACTGTTTTTTTATGTTTCGGTCTTAAGGGTTAGATGGCAGTGGGCACATCTACATGTGCATTAATGTGCCTTTTCTAATGTGAATTAAATGTAGTACCTTCAATATGAGGTACTAAATTAATGTGCATTAGGCTGTGCTAATGTGCAGTAGCACATTTGCACACATTTTTGGGATGCTTAATGTGCAGTAGATTAATTTAGTGTACATTAGCGTAATGTCATGGTTTTCTACACAATACTGTAATGCACAGTAAAATAGTCTACTATGTATTAAAGTGCATGTGTAAACATGCCTTGTGTTACAAAGGTAGGTGCATTAAAGGATTTCAGGGACTTGTGCAAGGCGGAATAGAATTGCACTTAAACACTTAAGTCTACCTGAACATCCACTTCATGAAACAGAATCTGGCCCTAACCCCTTCTCTAGGGTCCAAGATCCTGGAATCACACAATTTAATCAGAATCTGCTTTCTAGGCCTGAAGATAGCAAAGAAAAGTGTGAAACTCTGACCTGAATCTGACCAAATCAAAGGTTTCTGCCTGAGTCTGCAGAACCTGAAAACAGCCATTTGAAGGAGGATGAAGTGAACCATGCATTGCAGCAAGGTAAAAATTTCAAGGCCTATTTCTTTATCACTCCTGACAGCACCACCACAGCAAAGGGCTCTGTTTGTGACATGACAAGAAGTGTTTAAGTTGGCCTTGTTCATCTGCCATTGCATATATGCTCTAGTTACTAGAGTAAGTACTGCTGTCCTACTCTGATTCAGTGAAGAGTGGAAGCTTGTCTCCTTGTAAGGAAAGATGTCTTCATACAGCTATGCCTGTGTCTCAGGAATGATTGAAGGTGGATAACTTTGCTCTTCCAAGTGGCAGTGTGGCTGTGGTATGAAGGGATTGCTGTGATGGGACAGCCAACAAGTGGCTACAGAATCAAATCAGTGTCTGAGGCCCCAGACTGTCTTAATCATAAGCATTTAGAATGTGGTACTAAAAGGGATTTACCAGATGATTGAGTCCAAATCCCTGCTACCATAGGCAGTCTCTTTGAATAATCACTGTAATAAACTCCACCTTAAAATAAATTCATGGTTTGTTCCTACTGCTTCAATTGGAAGGCTGTTTCAAAATCTCACTCTTCTTCTGGCTGAGAGCCTTCTTCTAATTTCTAGCCTAAATTTATTCATGGTGAGTCTAAACCCATTTTTCTTGTTCCAGCACTGTCTTTTAGGTAGCTCTTCTCCTTACAGTATTTATCCCTCTGGTTTATTTACAGAAATCAATTGAATCTCCTCTCAGCCTCTGTTTTCCTTGCTGAAGCCATCCAAGCTCTTTTCAGTCTCATCACATAAAAAGGCTCTCCATCCTGCCAGTCCTTTTTCCATCCAGAGTTTCTTCATTATAATTCATGATGCATTACAGGAATGGTAGTTCTCCAGCAAGCCCAGATCAAAAGATAGAATAGAGGCTGGAACTACAGTTCCAATAAATCACTGCACCACAGGGAATACAGCCCACAATTGCTTTGAGGTTTTTTTTCCCAGTCTGATTCAAAATTGGAAGAGTTCGCCTCAAAAATATTCCACTTGGGGTTGTTTCAATCCAAACAAAGGAAATATTTCATTTTGATTTTTCCTCCAGAAAAACTGTAAAAGTTTGGAAAATCAGTCTGCTCAGAAAATGTTAGTTTCTAGAAACTATGGTTTCCAGTGGAGATTCACTCTGCTGAGAATTTTTTGACATGCTCTAGTTGGGAGACTTAAGCATTGTGGTTTTGGATATCACAGTGATCTTGGTAACACTGAAAAAGATAAAGGGGTAGGTTAATACAGTGCTAGGGTAATATCGACATTGTCCTCCAGAACTTCTTAGGAATTTATAGGGGTTTCCAGATGCGCAAGGTCAAGGTATTTTCTTATATGTATCAGTATGTTTCCAAGTCTTTATTGCCTATGTTGATGATAGGCCTGTTATAACACTAGTTATAGAGTAGTAGTATTCCTGTGACTTTGAGTTGTTCCTGATTTACCCTACTGTAAGGGAGAGAAGACACCATGCACCCCTACCCATCTACCTACTCCTAAATCATTTATTTTCTTTCAGGACCACATTGCAGGTCAGTCAGAAGGATGTATGAATCCAGTGCCTTATCCAATGATTTGGGCAAAGTGTCAATATCATAAGAAAACTGAAGTGTTCTCATCTGATTCTGGGTTGCTAGGTGATAAATACAAAGATTTGAGAGAGAGAGCCATTATCTGAAGGAAGTTGTAATCTCTTATATGTCAGGTTTATCTATTGGCTCAAAAATAAGTTAAGATACTAAAAGAAGTGTTGACTATATTGAATGTCATAATGCAAATGAAACAAGTTACAAGTTAAAAGATTATTTTGGTTCTAAAGATACTGTTTATTCTAATGATGTCCTCCATTTATAATATAGAGGAGTATGTCAGAACTGGCCTAAGCTGGAATGAGCTTTTTAACAGCAGGCATTATAATAAAAGCTGGGGAAAAAATAGCTTTATAATTTTATTGCCATTCCCATTTAATAGAAAACTTAATGAGAGAATTCCTACTTTGTTTTTTATGGAAATAAATTAAAATTATCTAAAAGAATATGTGGTTGTGTCTGTTTAAATCATTATCTATAGGTATTTACTAGAATCTCTTGTTTTGCTCAATTCATATGGTTTGAAAGTACATTGAGGAAAGGGGATAGAGAGAAGTTTTGTTTTGTCCAAACCAAAAAGAATCTAGGCATTTCTTCAAATTACTGAAAGATCAGCAGAGATTCTGGGGGCTGAATCATTTTCCTGTATCATACAAGGAAATACTGGATGTTAATATTACTGACTAAAGCGCTAATGTTATTACTTAAATACTAGTATAGCTAATTATAACTAAATAATTTAGTTTCTCTGAATTAAAAAGCATAAGCAAGAGTTTAGACTGGCATGTAGGACAGGCAGAGGAAACCCTAGTAAATGCTAGAGTGCAAAGGTAAATACATGAGGTATCTAGGTAACTGCTGGGGTTTTTCGGTGATATCCTAACTGTATAGCTGGTAGAAATGCTAGACAAACTTTCACGCACACAGAGCCTTTCCTCATGTCTAGTAAAGATGCAGAGACAGATTAAGCTAAACAACACAGAGAACAATGGCTTACATCCAGCCTGGGTTTTTTGTAAATAAAATAATACAGCGTATTAGTGGCTCCATGGATCTGTGCCCATGCCTCCTCTGTGCCACATCCTGGAGTATTACCAGAAAATGCGCTCCAGCCATTTGATCCCACCAGATTCCAGAAATGAAACAACATAACCTGAGTGTGTGCCAGTAACAGCAGCTTGGGGCATGGGCTACCCATGAGACAGCTACCTTGCCTCATTTCTGGACATCAGTGTTAGTGGCAAAACAATCAGAGTTGGCACCCAGGTAAAAACATGAGGGGTGGGAAGGCAGCGGGTGAGGGGGGAGAGCAGGTTCTGTAAGCAGGGCTGCAGGGGGGCAGCAGACTTACCCATGCCAGAAACTCCTAAACAGTCTCTGGCTGAGCTGCTGCTGCTGCCGCCCTGCATGCTGTCTGCCCTGGCTGTTTTTCTTAAAGCAGTAGCAGCAGTAGGGGAGAAAGGAGTCCCCAACATGAGTAAGCTGTCACGGTGCAGGCTCTTGAGGGGTGAGAGGCAATTCCAGTGTGCATCCTTACTTGTCGTCTGTGGTGGATGCCCAACCTGCCCAACCCTAGTTACACAACTGGTCTATGTGCCTGAGCAGGAGTGAGCAGGCAAGGCACACTTCATGGAGGCATCTGTGGGCTGTGCAGTCATACAAATAGATACCAAAGGATCCTTCTGAGAAAAGGGCTATCTGCAGGGGATCCTTTTTTCTTCACACAGATCTACTGACTCTTGTGGCTCGTGGCCCTCCCTGGGATGGAGGGAGAAGCCGTCTCAGTCTTCAATAGTTTGTGCTGCTCTGCTGCTTAGGTCAGCAGAATGGGATTCTTACTGAGGAAACACAACATAGGAGCAATACATCATCAGAACCTCTCTCATTGGCTGATCAGGACTCCGGTGGTCAAAAAACGTTTACATACAAACCTCAGATACTTGACTTAACATTTTGTGAGTTCCATCCTTCCAGGTATCCCTGAATTACCACTTAACTGAAAGACCAACGAATGTAGTCACGGGTTATCATTCCCATCTTTAGTTCAACCTATTTGAAAACTTTCTTGTACATGAAATCCAGCTGAAAATCTGAATGAGACTCAATTGTGGTGTAATGGTTGCCAATTCAATTGTTTCATTAAGTACATTGGTTTGGTCCATTAGGTCCAATTAGGTTTTGATCTATTACTATTTATTGGTTCATTACATCTAATGTCCACAGGCAATGGGCCCAGTGCTGTTGCATGCTGTGTTTTAATAGCAACACATTTTTTTGTGTCTTTATTAGAAAGGTCATGCTTAAGCTTACCCAAGATTTTCTGTCCTAACCTAATAGGGCTAGAAGGAGCTTCCTGAGCCATCAAGCCTATTTCTGTTTGATTCCACCCCCAACACATTCATACTGTCACTGCGGACTAAAGACAGATCTTTTTTTCAATAGCTGGCCTGTGCATTCTGTAGGGTGACCACAAGTCTCACCTCTTTCAAATCAATTTTCTGTACAATAACACATCATCTTATTTAACCAACTAAGGGAAAGGAAACAGAATATATGCATTTTAGATTATTTTATAGTGTCTGAAATCCCAAATGATTCTGCTGTGATGGGTCAGCTCCTATCACATCCACATCATATCTTTCATAAAATACCTCCAGGTTCTAAAGGTTTAAACCTCGAGTCACAAGAATCCACACATTCGCTCATCTGATTTCAGTTTGAAAATGATTATTTCAATTTGTGGTACAGGAACAAAACCAGTGGAGTTGACTTGGGACTTTCAACTTAATTTGGGGCTGGTTCAGGTACTAACCTCTTAGTTTTGATTCATTTCTACAAATGACACAGCTTGATGTAAAAGGATTTCTATCGCAAGGGTTGAATTTTAAACACCACTAGACAACAGAACCAAGGTTGGTTTCTCTTGTGGCTCTGAACGCTCTTGTAACACAACTCAGTGATGCTGAAAATTCTGCAGTTCTTATTATTAAAACTCACAATGCTTGCTCTCCTTATTATCTTTTATTGATTAAATTATTTTTCTCTTGGTCTCTAGGTACCTTGGATCTCCCCGTGCCTAGAGTGACAGACGTACATCTCCAAATACTAACAGACAGCTTTGTCAGCCTCAAGTAAGTACAATGTACAGTCTTCATTAAAAACTGGAAAAATAAATAAGGATAACTAATGAAATGAGTACAAGCCCTTCTGAGCTGTGGTTGTTCAATCCAACCCTCTCTTAGGGATGTACAAATAATGCAAAGAGTGTTCTTCGCCAATTAACCTGACTAACTGGGTCAGAGGTTCAGGCTCTAGAACCTGTAGTTCTCTATAGTCATCAGCTCAGCTTGCCCTTTAACCATGGAAACCAAAAAGGAAAAGTTAGTACTTGTTTCTGAAGGGGCTCAGCTGACTTCTCCCCACTAGCCTTCCCTCTCTTTGAAGTTGTCCTGGCTCTGGCACCACGTTTCTTCAGCCGTTGTCTCTCAGCTTAGAATAATTCTTCCAAGCCCCTCAGCCAGCTGGCTGTGGGCTTACCACTGTCGCAGCCATCCCGGCCATCTTCCCGGGTTACATCCCGTGTGGTGTCACTCCTCTTTTCTTCATCCAGGTCCTTCACCATCTCTTCCTCTTTTAGGGGCCACTTTAACTTCACGGAGCAGTAACTCCAGAAACACAGCTCCTAGGGAGCTCTCTTTTCCTTTGCTGTCTCTTGCCAGCTCCTCGGCAGTATCAGCACTGTCGTCTTCTCCTCCTTACACATCCTCCCTCTTAAGATGCACCATTTTTTCTGTCCCTAGGGTTAGGGATGTGCATGGCTGTTGGTGTCTGTTGGCATTCAAATACATTTCTTCAGAATGGCATCTAGATAGAAAGTCTGCTACCACATTGGTCTGGCCAGGCCTGTATTTGATACAAAAATGAAAAGGTTGCAAGGCTTAGGCCCACCAGATCATGCAAGCATTATCAGTCTTCGTGGCTTGTAACCATTTTAGAGGAGCATGATCAGTGATTAACATAAACTCCCAGCTGAGAAGGTAATAATGGAAATATTCCACCCCCAATTTGATAGCTAAACTTTCTCTTTCTTTAGTTGCATACCTTTACTCTTGGGGGTTTAGCTTGCAGCTGGCATATGCTATGGGCTGATCCATTCCTTCAGTTTCCTGCAACAATACTGCTTGATTTGATGCATTGGTCTATAGGACAAAAGGTTGTTTGAAATCCGAAGTCTGAAGCACCACATCCCTGTAACAGTACTTTTTTCATTTTGTTGAAAGCTTTGAGGTGGGTCTCATCCCATTTTATTGGACCTGAAGCTTTCCCTTTCAAAGTGTTGGTTAGAGATGATGTTACTTCAGCAAAATGTGGGATGAAATGCCAATAATAACCAGCTAATCCTAGGAAGGCCCTCAGCTGTTTTCAGGTTTGAGGGGGAGAGTAGCCTCTTAGTGCCTCTATCTTATCTGCCAGGAATCAGATTCTGCCTTCACCAACCAAAAATCCCAGTTTGGCAGTTAGGCTGGCTACCTGAAGTTCCTGAAAGACCAATCGGAGACGTTGCTCCCACCCCTCTGAGTGTATAATAATGTCATCTATGTAGGCCACATATCCTTGATGTGGTGCTAGGACCCAATCAATGAGCCTTTGAAATGTAGCCACTGCACTATGCAAACCAAACAGCATATATTTGAATTCGTAAAGTCCTCAAGGTGTGCCAAAAGCTGTTTTTGGTTCATCCTCCTTGCAAACTGGCACTTGGCAATATCCCTCGGTCAAGTCTAATGTGGAAATGAACTTAGCCTACCCGACCTTCTCTAACAATTCATTAATCTGGGGCATTGGAAAAGTGTAAAATCTGGAAATTACATTTAGTTTGCAAAAATCTACACATAGCCGGAGTGAGCTGTCATGTTTAGGCACGGCTACTAAGAGACTTCTCCAAGGGCTTCATGATCCTGTGCCAACATTTTGTCTGTCTCCTTTCATATAAGATCATAACAATGATACTGGCTTCTCTGCCATTTCTCTTGTACCACCTTGTCCTCAGGAGTGATAATTCAGTGTCTTATCCCTTTTGTACATCTGGGAACTTCACTGAATACATCCCTAAACTCTCTTACTAGTTGTGATAATTGTACCCTCTGTCCCTCAATCAACTGCACTCCTAGGTAGGCCTCCTTTGTTACATCACGTCCTTCTTTAGTATTGGTATTTATCCTTTATTGTATGGGAGTGGATAATAGGCCCTCTCTTACCCTCCATAACTTCAACAGGTTGATATGGAAAATTTGTTTCTCTTTCTTGTATCCTGGCTGGAACACATCATAATCCACCGGGCCAATTTACTTATAATCTCAAAGGGTCCTTGCCAATTAGTGAGGAATTTACTAACGATGCTCAGAAGGATGCTTAGAAGGAGTACTAAAACTTTCTGTCCCACCTGGAATTCTCTCTGCTGTGCACCCTGGTTATATGATTCCTTTTGTTTCGACTGAGCTTGAAGGAGATGGTCCTGAGTGACCTCCCCGATTTTTTGTAACCGTTTCCTCAGCACGCTTACATATGCTGGCAGTTGAGGAGCTATAAATTCATCTCTCCCATATGGCATCACTCCCTTTTTCTTCATCCGGGTCCTTCACCATCTCTTCCTCTTTTTGGGGCCACTCTAACTTTACAGAGCAGTAACTATGGAAATGCGACTCCCGGGGAGCTCTCTTTTCCTTCACCGTCTCTTGCCTGCTCCCAGGTAGCATCAGCACTGTCTTCTTCTCCTCCTTACACATGCATAACCAGCCCTTTTGAGCTTCCATCATTTGCACAAATTTCAACTCGCAGCCTTCCCAGGAATCTTAATTGCTTAGGGCAGAAGGCATGCTATGGTGTCTAACTCTTCTAGCATCAATCCACTTCTAAGCAGAATAAAAAGTAGGTTTAAAATACATGCTTTTGTTAACATCTCTTTTATTCATGAAAGTGTCAGTCCTTTCAGAGTTTCCTGCAGATCTTATAGACTTTGGTGTCAAAGCCACATAGTCTGATATTTTTAAGTCAGAGGTTTTGATTCTTAAAATAACATACTGTAAGGTGAGAAAGTAATTGAAGCCTTTTCTAGATCTGAGTAAAGGAAATTAGCTAGAATAAGCTGACAGATGATAATTGAAATACAGCACGTAATAATAAAAGCACAATTTGAAATTGGGATATAGAGTTGAATTGTTTAATTCACTGAACTGAATGCAAACATTTGGCTATAACTGCGAAGACTTCTACTGGCAGTTACATCAATCCCTCCCTTAAGAATAATTATTTTTCCAGTGTTCTCTTTCTGCTCACAAGTGATGTCTTATGTTAAACTGAGCTCATTTTCCTGTGCAGAGTCCAGAGCTAGCAAAAATGGAAACTAGATAAAGCTAGTGCACTTAAGTGATGGTAAAACTGATAACACCACTAGTTATTAAGGTTGCCTTCAACTTGCTTGGAAGAATGGAAAAGGGCCAACATAGTGTCCCCTTTAAAAAGAAGGCAAAATGGAGGACCCATGGAAGTACAGACCAGTTAGCCTCACCTCAGTAACTGGGAGGTTACTGAAGCGTATCCTCAGAAAATACATTTGCAGTCATCTGGAAGAGGCAAGACTGATCACAAACACTTGGTATGGATTTATTAATAATACATTGTGTCAAACAAGCTTGATCTCCTTCAATGTAACTTCTTGGGTAGATGAAGGGAAAGGACTTCAGCAAGACTTTTGACAAGGTCCTTCATGACCTTGTCATAAACAAATCGGAGAACTGTGTGGATAGACACCATAAGGTGGATGGACAACTGGCTCAATAGTCCCAAGAAAAGGGAATTATAAGTGGATCCATGTCAGAATGGCAGGAGGTTTCACGTGGAGCCCCACAAGTCTCTGTCCTGGTGTGGGCCAGTGCTGTTCAACGTGTTCATTAATTATTTGGAGTCTGGAACAGAAAGCTTCTTGAGCAAGCTTGCAGACAACATGAAACTGAGAGAGACTGTGAACATGCTGGAGGACAAGAGTGCAACTGAGAAGGAACTTGACAGGTTGTGAAGTTCAGCTGGAACTAACAGGATGAAATTTAATATTGACAGATTGAAGATGCTATAGCTCAGGAAGAAGAATAAAAAATATAAATAGAAAGTGGGTGACACCTGTCTGAATGGCAGCACTACAGAAAAGGATCTGGAAGTCTTGGTAGATCACAGACTCAGTATGAGTCTGCAGTGTGGTACAGCGGCACAGAAGATGAATGCAGTTTTGGGATCCATCAATAGAAGCATTAGATGCAAGTCACAAGAGGTGATAGTGCCCTCTCCTTTTTCAACACTGGTTAGGCCTCATCAAGGATATTGTATGCATTTTTGGTTCTCCACATAAAAAGGATGTGGAGAACTTAGAAAGGGTCCAGAGGTGGGCAACACAGGAAAAGAAAGCTTGGAAGGTAAAGCATACAAAAAGATTGAAAATAATAGTTATGTTCAGCTTGCAGAAAAGGTGCTTAGGAGAGGACATGATATCAGTCTTCACATACCTGAAGGTCTGCCATAAAGAAGAAGGAAACTACCTTTTCTCTCTTGCTGCAGAGAGTAGGACATGGACCAGTGGCTTCAGTTGCAGCAAAGTAGGTTCAGAATGGATATTAAGAAAAAACTTCTTTACTGTTAAAACAGTGAGGCAGTGGAATAGACTGCTTAGGGGAACTGTGGATTCTCAATCATTGGAAGTGTTCAAACAGAGGTTGGACAGTCACTGGTCAGGGATGCAGAACCAATGGGTATTGGCTGCAGCCAAGGCTGGGAATTTTGGCTAGGATATGCAAGTGCTTTGTCTGAGATTTAAACCCAGAGGTTCCTAGTTAGAAATGTTTGCACTTCCACTCAGGTTCAGACCAAGCAACATATTTGGGGTCAGGAAGGAATTGTACCCCATGGTCTGGGCTAAGGTTGATTTTTTGGGGGGGAGGGGGGAGGGGGGAGAGGTTGCTTTCCTCTGTAGTGGGAGGTGTGGCCTGTTCCTTAGATCTCAGGAGCATATTTTAACAACCTTTGCTGCAGCAGGAGATTGGCCATCCATGGTCCCCCTGCTTTTTCTGTGATAGACTAGGG